GTTCTCTTCATTATGGCCCCAATACTCCATCATACATTTTTAATGGACTACAGGTTGGAGGTGTTTTACAAAGCAGACCTGTCACTGACAAAAGGAAGACGTTAAATCCTATAGACTGTGTTTTATTCTCTCTGTTTTATTCAGACTGAAGGATGCACCCGAGATATTGATTTTCTTTCTTTTAAAATGGATCTGTAGCATTTTTGGGAATTAAGTTTTTAAATTATAAAGAAACGTCTTCCAGGGGGGAATTATCTGGAAAGTGTCTTGTTTGGTTTGACAGGGCTCCGTATGAAAAATTATTTAAATTCAATACCATTTTGCACGACCTGGGCGTTTATGTCCCCGGGAATGTGATATTCACGGGCACGAGGCCCAACATCGCCTCAGAGATGTCGTCAGCTCTTGGCAGGCGGCGCACAGGCCGTTAGGTTTCAGTTAGAGAAAGAAGCAGATACAGTTTCACTCTTCGCTGCGTGTTGATCTATTACCGTGCCATCGTTTGAAATTTGAATTGAGAGCTTTGTTGTTGTCGGACGTTGAGGCCTGTACTTACAGACTGCCGTGAACATGAGGACTCCCAGCGCACACCCTCGTGTTTGTGCATGTGGAGGAGGATATTGATTGTGATGGGATTTACACAGAAACATTTCATTTCCACAGCTGTATTTACTTTTTATGCAGTCGGCAGCTGTATGGGTGCGGAGGGATTTTCTATCCTGTGCACAGAGAAGACGCTAATCCTCAGATCTTTACTGCTCTATTACAACAAATACATTTAAACCCGTTCAGCTCTCGACACTCTCGGGGGAGCAATCTGAAGAAAATGTAATGTATCTCGCACTTTGTGAAGCTACGCGCGCGATCAAACACAAAGAGTATTGATGGAGGGCATTGCCGGCAGTCAGAAAAATATCAATTCGAAAAATTTACTTCACCCATTTAAGGTGGAAAAGAGGGAGGAATGGTGGAGGGAGTAAAATGAGCAACGCACATTCACACTTAAAGACTCTACGTCCTGAAGACAAACTGCTGAGACATCTGAGAACCCGAGGTGAAATCCACACCTGTCGTTCCATCCGTAAAGCGTTAGTTTCCCATGCTGCACCTGTTCCTCCCACACCAGCCAGCACCTGACAGAAATCCCGTCCAATCAACATCAGACTGGACAAAGCATCTTTTTTTGTTTTCAAACCTTTTGTATTCACAGAGAACAGCAGCTTTTCTGTTTGTCACCTGAGAGGCATGTGATTAGCAAACCTGTCCGTTTTAGAAAAGGTGCTTTTCTGTGCAGGATGCTTTACGGTCAAGCGAAGTGTACAGAAAGTGTAATTCATGGGACAGGGAGCGAGCTAATTTTAGGATTTTTACAACGAGTATATTTCCCGGCTTCCTCTGAAAGTAACATCCAGTGTAATGAGCTGTGACATCATTGTATGTTGAGGGATCGTCTTCAGAGTCGGCTACAAAAGGCTACAGTCCTTTATGAGCCCGGGCTGGAATTAAAGTCTGCACCTCTCCCACTAACGATAATTCATCTGCCAAGGTTCACCCTGACTTTATTGCTATGTAAATGTCTGTATCGTATTTCCTGCTCGGCCTGGGCGAGGGAGTGGCCCCCGAATCAAATGAGAAAGGCCTCCGCTCGGCTGAGAGCACCGACTGATCCTTCCACAAACAAACATTCACCTTTATGCGCTGATTGCAGCTCTTTACTGTTCGTCACTCGACCAATGAATCTGTCATACCAGACATTTTCATAGATTTCACTCACACGCTGATGTAAAAGATGAGGCTTCTATGTTTTTTCTATTCAATCAACAAATTAAATGAAGAGTCCAAATCTATCGCCTAAGGAATCCTGGAAACAAATATTGATTGTGTAGCCAAAGGCTGACACCCCATTGCCACATGGCTCTGTGTCCAAAGTGTATTCACTTCTATGGTAACCTCCGTAATCTCCGATGCGTTGCAGAGTTTATCGTCCCGTGTTATTTTTCCTCCATGCACGTTGAGTAAAACTGTAATTCTATTATTGACAATTAACTTGTTCAGCCAATTTAACACATAGTGAATTCC